TGAGAGGAGCCAAGTGACCAGTAAGACCTTTTGACCCCCGTCGCCTTCAGGTGGAGTCTGTGGTTTTTGGGGCTGCTTTGATGGGTTATCCCTCTACCAGACAGCAGCTGGACAATTCTCATCTTCTCTTTCAGCTCAGATTGATTCTGGGCATGTGATGCTGAATTTACACAAAAATAATATTATAATATAAAGAATACATCGTATTCCTCATAGCAGGAAGAAAGGAGTCCATGTAATCTTTCATCATCCTGTCTGATTTACTTTAGCACTAACATGGATGCTGAACCAAACCCTGTGATATAAAGATGAATTATTAGGATTATCCAATGGTCATATTGCAAAGCCTCTTAATTCAGCTTCCTTTGACCATCCTCTTATTCTCTTTTCATTCTGAAAGGAGTCTATGTTTACAAGCTGTGGGTGCCTGGACAGTCGGGGGCAAACTAGCACCCAGTCCAGTCCAACACCGTCTGCTTTATGACCCAGATGAGGGGAGCCCACATTTTCTCAGAATAGTTCCAGTGGGGGGCCTATCAGGGCTCTGGGGTGTAGAGCGCCAGGTCTCCGACCTGTGGCAGCAGGCGGGAGGGAGGGGGGGGGGGGGCCCCCCCGGGACGCGCAGCATGTTATTAGTCTCTGAATGTCCCACCCTCAGACTCACTGCCTGGTCTGATCGCTGTCATCTGCACCCCGCCCCCTTCAGCGGGACCCCCCCATCACCTCTCATCATGCCCTCAAAGCCATTACCCCCCCCATGGCTGAGGACAGCACACCCATTTGTAGCCAGTTGCCTTGGCAACGGGAGGCAGTTGCTTTGGTGACTTATGTAAATGGGGGCTGTGAGGAAATGGTAGATGTTTAGAGGGAGGGTGGTTGTTGTGACGGGTGGAGAAGATGCTGCTGGGCTAAAAATAGACATGGCTAAAGACTGCCTGTCTCCCCCCATCACCCAGCCCCCCCAACAGCAGCATGCTCAGACCCCCCTCCCCACACCTGGGATCAGCACTAGCTGTGTCCCTGCCTTAAGAAGGCCTCTCTGTTTCCACATGGGGAATGCTCACAGAACAGGGCCTGATGGACTGTAGTTGTTGTGGCGTTTATTGAGCCCCTGCTCTGTCACACAATGGCTAACGCAGTCTGGAGAGAGACAGGATGCTCTATTCATGGCAGTGACAACCTGAGATGGCCGCTTTGCCACTGTAAACAGGTTGTCCTGGTGGAGGTAGAGTCTCAATACTCTGTCTGCAAAAGCAGCAGAGTTTGGACTGACAGAGGCCTGTGAGTGTGTGGATCTGTGAGAGGTTGTGCGTATATACGTCCTGTGTATGTGTACCCACAGCCTCTGCCCTCTCTGTTGGAGCTCCTCTAATGGAAAAAGCCGGGCTTTCAGGATCCAGCCGGCTGTTGATGTGACTGTACATTGATTGAGGTAGTTGACATTTTGGTTGTGGCATCCTTTCCAAACTGTGGTGACAGGCTGCCTTTAAGTGTTGTCTGAACATGTAGGCATCAGCGGGAGCCGCTCCAGCCCGACTGACGGGTGCACTGAAGGAAAGAGGACGACTTGAACCCATTAACCTCAAAACAATAGACATGCATGCAGAGAATAGTTGTAAATGTTTGGTTAGTGGTGTTTTCTGTTGTGAAAGGCACAGAAAACTACCCCCCCCGAACATAGCAGCATCATAGCCAAGTGGATCAGAATCAGAATCTTGTTGTTGGCCAAATGTACAGAGTACACAGGAGTTTGACCTGGTATCCCAGAGCAACGGGGCAGTTTAAGAAACACATTTGAAAAAATGGCAAAGAAAAGGTGCCTACGATATGATGTACGGTGTATCCTGATGTATGTAAACCCTGCCTGCCTGTTACTGACACCCCCCCTGTACTGGGGCTGGTATCTGCTCAGCTGAGGGTAAAAAACAGATCAGCTCCCTCTCTGTGTGTAGGGAGTTTTTAATCCTTCGCTGCCTCTGTGTCCCTGACTGTTCACCTACACTTTCCATTGAGAACAAAAAGATTGGGACTTAGTCTCTTTGACTTCCATTTTTTCTCTTTTTTGTTTAGTATCTGTTCCTTAGTTTGTTATCAAGATCTTTTTTATCTCTTTTTTTCATTTTTTGTCCCTTCAAAGTACTTTAAGATGACAGAGTTCAGGGAAGAGAGCTGCTTTTGGACGTATTGTTGGTCAGAGGACAGACAGAGGCTGAGCTGACCTACCATTCAGTGTTCCTCATTGATATTCAGAGCAGCTGCATCAGACCAAGTGAGAGAGAAGAAAAACGTTTAGTGGACATTTGTTTGTCCTGAGGAAGGCATAAAAAGAAGTTAAAAGTTAATGAAGGGCATCATCATACATATGTAGCTAAAAAGCAGCTGGATGGTAAAAACACAGCAACATACCAGTCAGTTTTAGAATGGGAACTATTTCCTGTTTGCAGCATCTTTATACCAAAAGGCCTCATAGAATCCCATTATTTCTGCATGTCACAGCACTTCTCTAAAAAATCCTCATTCAAAGGACCAGATAAGTGCATTTGCTGTGGTCATCTACACAGTCCGTAACAGACTGTTCAGCTACTCCTTAGAACAGGTCGTGTCGGGTTGTGGCCCTCAGACGTGTCAGTGTGGACGGAGGCGTGGTCACAGTGAGTTCAGACAGAAGAAGATAGCCTCTCCTGATATCAGACACATCCAGCTGTGCCCTTTAGGGGCTGTCCCCTCCTGGACACTGTGCCCTTATCTGTCTGCTGCCTGTCCTCAGCCCTGCTCTGTCCCCGTCTGCCCGATAGAAGTCAGCTTTGTGCTGACGTTCGGCCTCAGAACGCCCGGAGCCGCGGCTGCTTTGACTGTTCACAACTCAGCCTCCCCTGAGTCCAGCTTACTGTCCAATAACACGCTGACCTTTGCCTTAAAAATCATGCTGCCAAGTAAATACATAGATAAAGGTAAGTTATCTTAAAAAATTAGAAAACTAGAGCTGTCTAAAGGCGTCTAGTTTGCCTACTAGTTCCAAAACACTTTAAACAACTGAAAAAACATTTTTATTCTTTCAACCTCAGTTGAGATTAGATTGTTTTGATTTAATTTTAGTTGGTTTTATGTCATGTTTTTGTATGTGTCTGATGTTTTTTTAATGTCCTTTATGGTTGTATAGTTTAAAAAAAATAGTTTTAGAATTCAGTTATGTGCAGCAGCTGCTGTTGTTTTTAAAGAGAATTCTAGATAAAGTTGGTATAGATGATTTTGATGTGATTATGATGATAATGTATTGACCTTTGGGACTGAGCTCCTTATGGCTGGCCGTGTGTTGTTGCTGGACATGTAGATCCCTCCCTGCTATTTATGTTTATGGCAACTTTAAGTGGGACAGTGGTCTATATTGATAGATGTCTTGCACCAGGTTCTTCTTCTTATTATTATTATTATTATTGTTATATCTCAAGTTAACAAGACAAAAGATCAGTTGTGAAATTATGGCACATTGCAACGGCAGCCAATCAGAGCTGGACATGTGGATGACATGGAGTTACTATATCCGGTCTGCATCCTCTGCAAATTTCACCACATCACTGCTGAGAGGGTGAAAACTCATTTGACGGATCCTGTTTAATGCTTTTGGACACGACTGTGTCTGACTCAGCCTGAAGTGAGCGGCGGAGGCAGATCTGTGTGTGACTTCTCAGAGCATCTGCTCACAGACTGGATGTGCACATGTGAGAGTCACAGTTTGCTCCCCACATTTCTCCATAACGCTGTGTTCCATCTTCACTTCTGCATGGACACACAAGGGTGTGCAGGGTGAAGATATGGAGGTTAGCCCAGTTTCCTCTTAACAAGAAACTCTCCGGTTCTAATCAGGTTCTTTATGTGTTGGCATATTCTACCCCTGCATCCATGGGTTCTCTCCAGCTTCCTCTGACCATCCAAAAGGTGACTCTAAACTGAGTGGAGGAGCGAATGTGGTTGTTGTTTTTTTTGCTAGCCTGGTAACCTGATCAGGCTCAGCCCGCTGTAAGCCACTGAATCAAAACAGGACATTCCCATCCTCAGCTGGAAGGCTGAAGGGCAGTGGTGTAGGAGGGGCTGAGGGTACAGCCCCCCTGTCTGTGGGTGGACGGGGAATGCGGTCAGGATGCCTCCGCTCTGAGGAGGTGTGTCAGACACATCCTACTGGGAGGACTTCCTCCATCTCCTTAGCTCAGCCTGGGTCCCCACGGCCTGGACCCATACAGCAGCAGGTCATGGGTGGATCATCGAAGGTTCCGTATAGTAGATTGTTCTCAGCTTCTTCTCTGTTCATCTCTGCCGTCCAACCTGTCGCATGTAGAAGGCACATGCACTAGATGTGAGCCCCTGGGCAGCATGGGCTCTGTGCTCATTTGCCACCAGCAGAGCTGTCAAAGCACCCCACAGGCAGCAGAATAGACCTGGATTTCAAAACTGAAGCCTGGAACTAGCAGTGATTTCTCCTACACACCAAAGTGGGGCAGAATAAGGAGAAAGGCAGAGAAATCAGCCTCTTTTTGCCGTGACCAGATGAAGTGGTTGTGTTGCTGGTGAGAAGTGTGTGCATGTCATGTTTGGAGAAGGAGAAACACCAGGTTTTATGGGTACTTGGTACTTTCTGCCAAGAGATAGAATGAGAGAAAGGAAGGGGTGGGGGCACACTCACTCCACCTCAGTGGGCGGGATGTAGGAACTGGCAGTAGCCAATTGGTGACCACAACTGGGTCACATGACGCCTGGAAGTGGCACAGAGGGGCCATAGGGAGAGAGAGAGGGAGAGGAGAGGAGCTGCAGACTCAGCTGGGCTCCAGTGTGCGACAGAGTGCAGAGCAGAGTTATTCCACTGCCCGGCACAGTACTGACCAGAGGCATTCCACCTCCCCGGCACAGTACTGACCACAAAGAGCCGCCAACAGGTGGGAGATCGCCCGCGGTGAGACGGGATCAGGACCAGACAAAGAGAAGGGGCCAAAGCAAGGAGAGACAGTATGTCTTCTCTCTCCGACCAGCAGCCTGGATCCTCGTTCTCAGAGTTCTCTGAGCTGTGTGCGGTGCCGGCAGCCCTGCCCCCCCAGAGCTGGGACTGGCAGCGCCCGCTGGACATGGGCCCCCCGCAGGGCTTGGTGGTGGATGGAGGACTCTCAGATGAAGATAAGCTGTGCTTCTTTGAGCAGCCGGGCCAGAATTCGGAGCTGAAGGTGCCTGGCAGGGCGGGGGGGCTCCCGGGCAGCTCCTCACTGGGTCAGGCCTCACTGGGCAGCGCGGGGGAGAGCCCGGACAGCCCGCTGTCCTCCTCCCCATCTCCCTCTCCAGCATCTCCAGGAAGGCTCCAGTCCTCTCTGGGATGTGGGGGCAGCAGCACGGTCTACCTGCCCCCAGTCACCGAGTCTCCCTCCAGCCCTGTGGAGGTCAGACCCGCCCCTGATGCAGCCCACCCCCCCTCTGCTGGAGGCTCCCTCCTCAAAGCTCCAGCAGATGAAGACTCTCCTTCAGCACCAGGGAAGGAGTCCAGCTCAAAGGAGCCTCCACACTACTGTGTGGGGGGGGCTCCATATGAAGAGCATCTGCAGAGCAGTGAGGAGGTCCCCCCTGGGCCTGAGGATGCCTGGGGGGGGCAGGAGCTATCAGAGGGCTCTTTAATGAAAGACTGTGTGGAGGATGAAGAAGAAGCGGAGGAGCTGGAGCCCTGCCTGATGGGACGAGCTCAGCAGCAGAGAAGAGCGATGAGGCGGGCTATGTCTGACTGCTCCCACCTGCCGGCCCCCCCCCGGCCCGGAGCCCCCCCACAGACACCAGGCTGAGGGCTGGGCTGAGTCCGACCCCCTGCTGTCACCCCTGGCCGGTCCTCGCCGCTCATCACACTCCATGAAGCGCTCGCTGACCGTTGCAGAAGATCAGCCTCCCACCCCCCCTCCCACCCTCTCAACGGCTGGAGCCACACACAGCGACCTGCGGCTCGCCCCACCTGACCCCCGGTCCGGCCTCTGCCCGCCTCCACCTCTGAGGGATGCCAGTGTCCCACTGTTGGAGGCCCCGGGGGAGGCCGGGTCTGGGGAGGCCGGGTCTGGGGAGGCCGGGTCTGGGGAGGCCGGGTCTGGGGAGGCCGGGTCTGGGGAGGCCGGGTCTGGGGAGGCCGGGCCGGGGGGCGTTGTGCTCCCGGTACCCCTCACCCCCCCGGGCTCCAGCAGCCGGGACAGCAGCTCTGCTCTGACCGTGGCCTCTGAGACCCAGGGCGCGGAAGCGGCCACCAGATTGGAGGACAGTAGATGTAGAGACATGGAGGAGGAGGTCAGGCCAGATGCCGGCTCAGACTTTGGCTCAGGAAACGGGGCCGCTGTGAGAATGGAGGTTTGTGATGGTGACCTTGCAGCTGCTGGGCAGAGCAGGCAGGATTCGAACTCCAACACTAACCGGTTTATCCTAGACGATGGTAGGTGAAGCATCTGACCCTCATACTCGTGAAATCAGAGCAGCTCGTGAAGGCAAAGCCTGCATAGACAAAAAAACAAAGTCAGAGCATGGTATTTGTACAGGTTTCATATTTGTGAGGAGGATAGGTGTGTAGATGAACGGGACAAAGCTAATCTTGGTTTGGAAAAGCAGAGTAAAAGAGAAAAATAAGAAAAGCCCCGGGTTGTTGCTCACTGTGTGCGGGGGGTGAATGGATGTGTTCGACAGCATGTGACGGTCAGACCGAGGGGTGAGGGGGGGGCTGTTGTCTGAACACCTCCTGTTAGCATCGCTGTCCGTCTGGAGCCCTGATGCTCGTTAGGACTGCACAGCTCTGATGGGTGGACGTCTTTGGTCAGACTAATGCTCTGTGGTCCGTTTGTCTCATTTCTGTGTTTCGCAGAGTGCTTGTTATACTCCCAGTGGAGGCAGACAGAGGCCAGACAGCTGAAAACAGGCCACAAATGTCGGCCGTCTGAGTCCAAACAAGGTCATTATTCTGCTAATCGCCACAGTGGAGCTTCTTCTAACAATGCTCTCTGCGTCCATTTGTCCTCATGTCACACGAGCAGAAAGCTGATAGTGAGCAGAGACATTTATGTTCCTGCCCCTCTGAAGCCCAAACAGGAGCCCTGCAGAATCCCGAGTCCTGAGACTCATCTTCTACATTGTCTTTGTTCCATAATTGGGGGTTTGGGGAGGATGAGCAGATCTGAGATTGAGGATAAGAAAATGGAGGGTTTGATGGTCCAGGAGGGGAAACGGCTGTTGAAGCTAAATGCAGGAGGAATGATGTGGATTCGTAGATTTCCACATTTCCAGAGCATTGTCTGGCTTTGATCGCAGGTTGGTTCCTCACGTTGTGTCAGATTCTGTTACATACACACTTTAGGTCCCCCACCGGTTACATGTTAAGATTTCTATTTGAATTTTAACATGTGGACAAATCTGCCACACATCAGAAGGATGTTCCATGCTTTATATTTGGGTTTTCTCCAGTTTCCCTAATTTTGTGGCTCTCAAAACATTTTTTTGTGAACCACCACAGCCCAAAAGAGTTCCCTCTGGCACCAGCCAGCGTCGGGTAGGCCGTAGCATGTAGGAAGCTTTGGATAGTAGCTGTCCAAGTGTATGCCTGAACATTTCTTTAGATAGTGGAATATTATCCCACCAAGACAAATGATGATATTATCTACTCTTTGAAGACATTATTTAGGGAGAAGTCTTGGTAAGCATTGAAAGAGAAACAGAAATCTATGCATCACATTGATTTTAGTTGTGTTTACTGGAACAGGATTGATGTCGTCCTCATTGTGATGCCTTTATCCTGCCAGCTCTGCATTTTGTGCATCTAAAAAGTGTTCAGCTACTGTGAATAGTGTTTTCTGTTCATATCAGTGTTTGTTTTGTTCAGATGTCTGAAGGTTGTGTCAGTCTGGACAAACGGGCTCAGCACAACCTGTTTCTATAGTCAAAAGGCCTGCTTTTTTCAGTGAAATTATCTTCCCTTTACTGTTACTCACCGTATGAAAAACATCTGTCTTTTTGTCCTTAATTCCAGTCAAATCTGACAAGATGGAGAGGAAGGAAGAGAAGCTTGAGGAGAACGTAAAGAAAGTGGAACCGACTGACTCCATGAGTGAACCTGAGCAGAGGGGTGTTAAAGTGGAATACGCACGCACTGAAACCCCAGCAAAGGGGGAGAAAGTTATCGAAAAGGACAAAGAGAAAGAAAACACTGAGTCAAAAAGACTTAAAGATGAGAACCAAGCAGACAATACTAAGGACACTGAGAAAAAGGAAGAAAAGGCAAATGACCAAGAAACAGAAATGGGTAAAGAAACCAAGAGGCAGAAAGATGAATTCATTCAGCCCAGTGATCAAAAAGAGGACAAAATGCACAAAGAAGAAGCATCAAATGTCAACATGGGCAAGCCAGAGAAGCTAGCCGAAGTGGAAATGATGAACAAAGGTGAGAAAGCAGATTCCGTAGAAAAGATGGAGGAAAAGGAGAAATCTAAAGTGGAAGAAAAAGCCCAGGGAGCAGAGGCAAAGAAATCAGAGGTGAAGGAAGACAAAGAGCAGCACACTGACGGGGCGGAAACAGCCCCAGCCCAACCGCTGACACCTGTCAAACCCCACGCCAGCGGGGATGTGACGGAGAAGATGGCTGAGGAAAAGACGGAGGAGAAGGAAGAGCCCCGGACAGAGAAGGCTGACAAAGAGGAAACCAAGAAGACAGATGACGAGGCAAGCAGGCCTGAGCCGCCCGCAGGAAAAGTGTTAGAGAAGACTGAAAAGGAGGAGAAGCCGGACAGAAACGCTGCTGAAAAGAAGGCTGACAAAAAGGAGAAGCCTGCCAAAGCAGACGCAGCAGAGAAGGCCAGGAGAGCGGCGAAGCCCCCGGGGAGTGCAGGCAGCACGGCCCCCAGCAGAGACCCCCCCGCTGCAGACAGGAAGACCAAGGTAGGGTTCTGCTCCTCTGGAGCCTGTGCGGCCTCCCCCGGTCCTCCAGCCACAGCCGGCCCATGGGCCTCCCTGGTTCTGGTTCTGGTTCTGGTTCTGGTTCTGGTTTGTCACTCAGAACTGGCAGCTGAATCAAAGCGTGCCGCAATCTGCTGGTTTCCTAAGCAACTGCTGGCTTTTTAGAACACCATCCATTCTATCAACTCATTTCCATTTCAATCATTTCATGCATTTTAATAGATTAGTATTGAATTACAATAAATTGGATCGTTTAGTTGAACTGTATATTTGAAGTGAATCTATAGGGATTTGACACAATATTAAATGGTAGTCATAAAATATATGTAACGGTCATTGGATTTAGGAAGTATTTTTGGCTCAAGTTCACTCTAAAGTCATTAGATTGTCAAAAATGAACATCTTACACAAGTACATTTTCAAATATCACTTTTTAGGTTATGGCTTCTTTTCAACATTTGCATAAGTTAAAGTTAATTAGCTGTTTTAGACATTTGACTAATTAGATAAGCCATGGCACTACTTTAGAAGTCAGTCAGTGGCATTAGTATTTTCATTAGGGGTCAGAATCAGAACACACCTTAAATCGTATATTAAAGACTTGATTTGACTTTGAAACGTAACTTAGAAGCATTTCAGTTTAGTGAGATGAAATCCGTTTAAAACTTTTTTCTACCAAAGTGCATTCTGTGTTCCTGCCCCGTTGCTGGGGTGGACCTTTGATTAAAGGCAGAATAGAGGGAGACATTTGGAAATGCAGAGTGAATGTGTGTGTGTGGATCCCCGTTTAGCTGCTGCTGCCATTTTTCAGTTTTTACCTTGTACAGAATGTATTCCTAAGCTCACCTTTCCCTTAGCTTTTTAAGTCATAAATGCATTTTATCTCTTGATTTTATGTCCATTGTTCTTCAGTTGCTTCTTGTGCTGTCAAACCCTGCTGCCATCATCATCCGTTTTCCTTATGTTTTTTTCCCCTTTTTCTTTGCTTTTCCCCTCGTTTTGCCCTCCATCCACCTGATGTTGGCCCGGCTTTGCAGCCTGCTGCTGGGGGGGCTAAACCAGGCACCACCGCCAAAGTGCGGCCAACAAACATGGCTGCTGGTGTTTCAGCCATTGCTAAGCGCCCCGCAGCCTCCTCCAACCCCACCACCTCAGACAAAAAACCCTCCACATCCAAGGCACCATCCACAATCCCTGTGGGGCCTAAGAGGCCCTCTGCCACTTCCATCAGCCGCCCATCCTCCTCCTCCACCTCCACCTCGCGAGAAGTTAAGCCCAAGGTAAGCGCGCCCCCAGAGGCAGCCAGTGGCCAGACTCCTGCCCCCATCCCAGCAACATCCTGAGGCCTCATCAAGGCGCATGAACACACAGATAAGGCCCGTAGAGAGGAGAGCTGATTGGTTTGAATGCATACACAGACATTTTCTGCTTGGACATTTTATATCAGGATAAGTACACAGATTTAAGGTAGCAGGAGAGATCCGCCTGTAAAGTTAAAGCTTTGGATTGAAGCCTGAAACGGGACGCTACCTTTTTTCATGGCTTTGTTGGAGGGGAATGAATGTGGCCCAAAAGACGTGAGTTTGTCGACAAAAGGTGGTTTTTCGGTCCGTTGTAGCTGAGCTCCCTTACCGGGTGTTGTTATTAAGTGTTTTTCTGCTGGAACACATGCTGTTCATCGGTGGGGGACATCTCCATGGAAGTTTGAATGAATTCTTTTGTCCAGAGCAGATCCCTAAAGCTTCTCATAGTTTCTGCTCTGGGTCTTTAAAGCTGAAATGTAAAAGTAGTTCATTTGCAGATGTGAAAAGTGAGCAGAACGGAGAGATGTTAACTACTCCTAAAACCACTTTCGCCTTTCATTTGTCTCTACTGAAATTGAAATTTTCCAAAGGATGCTTGAGTATATATGAATATTTCCCTTTATACTGCTGCTTTAGTTTAAGGCTTGAATCGGTCTCTTGCAGTTTTATTGTCCTACACACACTCTCTTAAAGCTCCGTTCATAGATGGGCGCGGGACATTTCAGTGGCCAGGCTGTTACAGGATGGTCCAGCTGTGTGTTTCCTGGGTTGTGACCTGATGTAAAGCTGCTGTTGTTGGTTTCATAGTTTGCCTCCCGTACTTCAGGCTTTTGTTCTGCCCTTCAAACTGACTTCCTTCTTGTTCTGTGTGATTTGTTTTGTTTCCTTCCTCCTCAGGTGACCACTGACAAGCGCCCCCTGGTGCCAAAGGTCAGCACTGCCACCTCCAATCCGTCTGGCTCCAGCAGAACTGGAACCACCACCACAGCCGCCAGCAGACCGGCTCCCCGCCCGGCTGCCTCCGCCCGCCCCCCCGCCGCCGCCGCTCTGGCCAGAAAGCCTCTGGGTAGGAGCTGAGTGGCTGACCCACAGATCGGTGCTTCAGGTTCTCATTTGCACGTCTTCTGACATCCTGTGTTTCAGCCACTAAAGCGGACAGTAAGCCGGGAGAGGAGAAGAAGCCCGGCACAGTGAGGACCACCACAGGTATTCCAGCACACCACCTTTCTCTGGAACTCAGCCTGCTTTGTCATCAACCATCTGCTGAGCTTCCTCACACACATCTGTAACATACTGCATATGTTTATAACATGAAAAGCTTATTTGAGCGTAATTGAGAGTTATCTAGTGGGGTTTACTCACTAAAGTGGTCTGGTTCCCCTCAGGCTCTTGATTCAGTGCTGCCCACCAGTGCTCCGGCTAATGTCAGCCACGCTGAATCTTCTCAGCTCACGCTTCTGCTAGCTTACTGTTAACTTAGCAGCCAGAGGTTTGCAGGATCTGGCCTAGATGAGACCTTCGATTCTTGATTCCTGAGTCCTTCAAGGGTTTCAGGACACAACGCCAGTCCTTTACAGTGTAATCAGATCTTTACATTGATGAGGACCAGAGAAGAAAAATGAAAGTTCAGCTTTGCCTCAGATGATGAAAGATTTTCCTCCTTAAATTGTTTCAGACTCTCCTTTGGTGTCTTTGGTACTTGCTTATCATACTAATTGCACTAGTATTTGTCATCCACCTGTTTTTATACTCAGCTGAGGCACATAAACATGCACTCACTCCTATGGGAACTAACCTGCATGTTTCTGGACTGTGGGAAACAGCAGGAGCACCCAGAAAGACTAATAAGTCTAACCACCACACCACTGTTCTACTGTGACTACACCCTCTTGTTTCATGAGATTAACGGTAACAACATCACCTAACATACAGAAACCAGAGGGTTAGAGAAGGAGGAGGGCAGTCTGATGTGTGACATGGAAGAAAAGACTCCTAGAAATCTATTGTGTATTTAATACGGATTCTGGTTTACAGTGAATTTGACCATAACAGCAGAAAAGTATTAAAGTTTGCCCAAAAACGTGCACTTTGGAAGGTTTCATATAGGTTTGCATTCATGAAAGGACACAAACATCATGTCGACTTTAGAAAAGCTTTATATTCTGTCACAGATGGATTTAAATATGGCTACAGGAGAAGTGTCAGCACCAGTGGGACACAGCAGTACAGGCTCAAACAGAGAGGGCTGTCTGGATTTCAACCCATCAGGCAGCAGCCTGGATTACGGGGCTGCTGCTGACAGGCTTTCACAGCTCTGGGTGAAGTCTAATCTGCCAGGCTTGATTCTGAAATTTAAATTACTCTCAAAGAAACATGAAGGCAAGGAAAAGGATTTCCTCATTTAAATGCTCAAAAGGAGCCAGAGATACCGGCAGACAAGCCTGTGATTCAGCACTCCTCAGCTCTACAGAGAAGCTGGACGTGAATGGGCACATCTGACACGGCTCAAAGGCCCTGCTGCTGAGCTGGAGGATGCTACAGCACCTCTGCTCCACTCAGAGATGTGATTGACCCTTAACAATATTTGTCTTTGGATCTATTTCTCAAAGTGTCCCACACATGTAGCCATCTTATTCTCTGACATACTTTGATTAGTATTCAAACAGATCAAAGTGGCACACACCTCAGCACTTTGCTGTTTTGCTGTACTTCCTGTGTTTACTGGAGAACGGAGGTGAGCAGTGTCCCTCCCGTTTAGGTCATAGAGCCTCCAAGTTTGCAGACAGTAAGCAGGTCAGCTCAGGATTAGTTTTTCTCTGCTTGGAAAGAGATTTCAAAGTGTCTGAATGGCTTAATCACAGTACAGGGCTGGCACATTAACACAGAGACTGCTTTAGGAGGATTTTCTGGAGTTGTTTCTATCATTTAAGGGAATCTGAGTGCATGGATGTGTGTATTATCTCCAGTCATGATATCTGTAGTGCTGTTTATTAAATAATCAGGGTACGAAGATGAATGACTAACATATAGTTATGATTTCTAAAGTCCAGTTGGACCGGTTTGTGTTCTTCATGCTCTTCATGACTCCCAGCTGCATTCATCCCAAACCTTTTTTTATTCCTTTCAAACAAAGTTTGTCACCTTTCCCAGTCACATTATCAAAAGCGTGATTAGCTAACTCTTGATGTTTGTGTCTCTCCAGGTGATTCTCCTAAGCCTAGGACCACCAGCGGCCCCCCCCGCAGCACCACCTCCACCTCCAGCTCCGCGGCTGCTCGCCCCCGCCCCCCCCCAGCCAGAGCGGCCCCCGCCGCCTCAGGCCCGGCAGCAGAGAAGAAGCCCCTGGTGCCCCGCGTCCCCCGGGCCGCCCCCCCCCCCCCCCCCCGGCCGCCCCCCCGCCGCCCGCCCCTCCTCGGCCCCGGCTCCTGACATCCGCAACGCCCGCTCCAAGATCGGGTCCACGGACAACATGAAGCACCAGCCCGGAGGGGGCAAGGTGGGTGCTGCTGCCCCACGGCCGGCCTCTGACCGGGGCCGGGCTCTGACCGGGGCCGGGCTCTGACCGGGGCCGGGCTCTGACCGGGGCGGGCTCTGACCGGGGCCGGCTCTGACCGGGCCGGCCTCTGACCGAGGCCGGGCTCTGACCGGGCCGGGCTCTGACCGGGGCAGGGCTCTGACCGGGGCTGGGCTCTGACCGGGGCCGGGCTCTAAGATGAGCGGGAGACGGGCTCCCCCTGAGGCTCCGGGGGGGCCCCTCCCTCATAAGAAACCAGCTCTTCTTCTCACTAGCTCCAAACAGGCCGGCCTTAAGCCCCCTTTGTAGTTACATTACATGAGAGGAGCTCTGCAGTAGTGTTTTTATCTTTCAATTTTACACATTCATTGTTTTTACATCTGCATCATCATGACCCCCCCCCCTCCCAGCTCAGGCCCCTCAGCCAGGCGTCACAATCAGAGGATCTGCAGGAATCTTGTGGATTTTGTGTTGGTTTAGTTTTCGTTGTGAATGCCATCTCTCAAATATCATTTAAAAAGGGAGCTAACAGATTATAATGGATGTGATGGCCTTAGTTTTCTTCTCCTCAAACTACGAAACACAAAAAGAGACCTGAGATGTGTGACGTAATGAAGAATCAGTGTGAATGAGCCAGACTGGCCGGTCCTGACCCCCCTGTGCTCCTCAGCATGGTCAGCTCTCAGATGAATCTGTCCCGTCTCTACTCTGCTGCTGCTAGTTTGAACACCTCTAACTGAATTTGACCCTCCTGCCTTATGCTGTGCTCCTCCTCGATGCCTTCTGTCTGACCCCATCCTGCCACCAGCGGCCCCCTCCCCCTGGCCCCCCCTCTGTGTGTCCCTGTGTGCTGATTGGAGCGTGCTCATTGACCGGGGGCGGCTTTTCTCCCCAGGTGTCATCTGCCTCTCAGAGCAGGGATGTCCCC